CAATATCATTTGTTACTAGTGATGAAAATTAGCACAAAGAGATATCACTACACAGGTATTAGAAGGCTAGAAGTTTTTTGTTTTTGTTTTTACTCTGGCAATACCAAGTGCTGGCAAAGATATGGAGCAACTGTAACTCATACAACCACTTTGCAAAACAGTTTGGCCATTCTCATAAAGTTAAATATATAACTACCATATGACCCAGCAATCCTACCCCTAGATATTTGTCCAAGAAAAAGGAAAGCTTGTATTAATCCAAAAGCCTGTATGTGAATGTGTATAGCAATTTTGCTTATAATTTCCCCAAACTGGAGACAACCCAGATGTGAATGGATAAGCAATCTGTGATACATCCAGACAATTGAATACAGCACAGCAATTTAAAAAAAGACTATTGAATCATGTAACAACATGGATACTTTTTTTATTTTTTATTTTTTGAGACAGGGTCTTGCACTGTCACTCAGGCTGGAGTACAGTGGTACAATTTTGGCTCACTGCACCTTGACCTCCTGGGCTCAGGCCATCCTCCTACCTCAGCCTCCCAAGTAGCTGGGATTACAGGTGCGTGTCACAATGCTTGGCTAATTTTTTGTATATTTTGTAGAGACAGGGTTTCACCATCTTGCCAAGGCTGGTCTTGAACTACTGGGCTCAAGTGATCCACCCACCTGGGCCTCCCAAAGTGCTGGGTTTACAGGTGTGAACCACTGTACACGGCCAACAAAGCTGAATTTTAAATGCCTTTTTCTATGTGAAAGAAGCCAGATCCAAAAAGCTACATATGCATTTATATGACGTTCTGGAAATGACATAACAATAGGGACAGAAAACAGATAAGTGGTTGCCACAGATAAGGGAATGGGGAGAGTGTGACTACAAAAGGGCTGCACAAGGGAACTGGGGGATGATGAAACTGTTTTATATGGATCTGTGATGGTGGACATGTACCTGTGCACTTGTCAAAACCCTTAACACCACCCACGAAGAGAAGACTGTACTTTATATAAGTTATAAAAAGTTAATGAGGTTACTGAGAGAATCCAAGTTGGAATGCAACCTGTAACAAATTAATCTAACTGTATTACAAACAAACCACATAACCTCACTGAAAAGAGTGGGAAAGAAAGGAGTTAACATGAGCAACTTCAGAAAACAAGTTTGGACTGGAAACTCTAAGGTTATATTTTTTAAAAACTGTACATAAACACACTGTATTTTAGTTGATACATTTGTTTTTCACAGAAGTATGGAGTAGCAATTCTGAAATTACATGTACAGCCATGCAATTAATGACAGGGATACATTCTGAGAAGTGTGTCCTTAGGCAATTTCATCATTGTGTGACTATCACAGAGTACTTACACAAACCTACTGCACACCTAGGCTATATGGCATACCCTGTTGCCCTAGCTACAAACTTGTACCGCATATTACTATACAGAATATTGTAGGCAATTGTAAAAGAGTAGTAAGGATTAAATATTGAAACATAGAAAAGACACAGCAAAAGCATGTTATTATAATCTTATGGGACTACCATGTGGTCTGTCATTGATTGAACCATCTTTATGCAGTGCATGACTGCATAACAAACAAGTTATTAGTTGATTAGTTGATTATGTCACCCGGATTTCTCATAGCCAGAGAAAAAAGTTACATATAAGGAAAAGGCTAGAACGAATCCTGAGGAGTTGGATTGGGGTCTGAGGTATCAGTATGAATTCATAGTTTAAAATGGACAAACAAAAAGATCTAGGAATAAGTATAGTTGTGTGTGTATGCATGAGCTAGTATACACACATACATTTTCTAGGTATTTTCTCTGATAGGCTAGGAAGTAGTGACACTCCTGTAGCAATGAGCACATCTAGTGTGTAGTTCTTAATTCCTAAATTTCCTTCTTTAATCCAGGGTACCTTGGAGAAACAGTTGATACCAGGGCTGGGCAGAGAAAACACAAGATGAGCCTGAAGCATCTTGAGGTGACAGAAACTAAGGAAGTAGTCACAAGAAAAGGATGGAGGTACACTGAAGGGCACAGGAGCCAACTGGGGAGAATCACTCTTTCAAAACTAAGCCAGAACAACTTGAGCAAGAAAATAGATAACAATAATACTGTATTATAGTCTAAAGACTAAAATAAATATCAACGAATCCAGGAAATTTCCAGGGGAAAAAAAGTGAAAAAGGAGATGGCTAATAGATGCTAGAAATAGTACAACGCTACATAATAACTAAAACAGTATAATACTGGTACATAAGTTACAGACATGTCATCTGCATAGCCCAGAAATAAAATGGAAAACATTCTGGAATATAAAAAATTATAAATGTGGCATTTCAAATCAGTGGGGATAAGGAATGGATTAGTCAATACATGATGTTGGGACAGGCAGATTAGTCATCCGAGAAAAAATTAAAAGTAAAGTCCTACTTCACAACATATGCCAAATAAATCTCAGAGTGAACAAATATTTAAATATAAAAATGAAATCATAATAGAATTAGAAAATAAGTGAGAGAATGATTTTATAATCATTTTGAAGGCCTCTCTAACTATGATACCATACACTGAAGCCTTCTAGAAGAGGTTCTAAATGCCTTTGTAATATCTGTGATATAACACTAAGTGATCATATAACATTTAAAATATACATTTGACTAATGTATGAATATAAATGTAAATTGCAAAACGAAATAGTTGTCATATATGGGTAGTTGAAATGGGGTGATTTAAATGATTATTTCTAAGGTAAATATATATACACACATATATACATACATATATACATATATACATATATATACATATATATACATATGTATATATGTATGTATATGCAATTATCATATATGTATATATGCAAATATTAGTGAGTCCATATTCATATAAATAAATGACTGAAAAATTAAATAAATGGAAAAGGAACAGCTACTCTTTACAGAAGAATTCTAATTTATGAATGTATATGGGATAAAATCAACAGAAAATCACCATTAAGAACACCACAGTAATAACTGCCACAGGCAAGGCAAGGTCCACTGATAAATGTTAGAATTAGTAGGTAAAATTTTCAGGAGAAATAAGATATGCGTATAATCTCAAAACTTTTCCTCCCACCCCAAGTTTACTAATTACAGGAGGAAATGTAACTTCATCATGGAGAAACCTGGCAGACATGACTTTAACCAAGTCGTCAGGGTGAGCATCACCAGTAAAAAGGTTCATCAATGTCATGTACTACCAGGTTGATATATACGTAAAAAGGCACACACTCAGTATGGTATTGTCCCCCAAGATGTGTATCTCAAACTCATCATGAGACAACATCAGACAATCCAAAATTGATGGACAATCTGTAGAGTAAGTTACCAGTACTCTTCAAAGATCTCAAAGTCATAAAAGACAAGGAAAGACTGAGCAACTGGTACAGATTGGAAAGATTTAACAGATATAACAACTATTAATATATGCAACATGTGATCTGGGATTAGATCCTGGCACAGAAAATGAACATTAAGGAAACAACTGGGAAAATCCAAATAAAATCTATCATTTCATTAATACTATTATACTAATAGTAATTTCTTCATTTTCATAACTATACTGTGGTTAGATTAAAACATATAAAGAGTATATAGAAACTCTGTAGTATGTTTGCAACTTACAGAAGTCTCAAATTATCTCATAATAGAAACTTAAATAAAATGGTAGAAACATTTCATAACAAAGAAAAAAGAAATAGAAATAATCGGATGTTTAGACCCAGGAAATCTAAAGATGAAAAACAAAAAATCCAAACGGAAAAAAGGAACATATGGAAAGACCGATAAAAACTTAGTTCTTCAGACTGAAGAGCCTCACTGGATTTTAAGAAAGCTTAACATAGAATTATATATATGACTTTATTATAGAAAAGTTCCTGCTTCAAATGATAAATTACTAGACAGAAATCACAAGTATACAAAGGAAGGAAAATCACAGTAGCATCAGACTTCTTATTTACATTATTAAAAGCTAGAAGGCAGTAAAACAAATTTTGGGCTACTGAAGAAAATGAGTATGGGAGGGGTCATCCTATCAAGACAGCACAGTTGTTTATAATGTCCATAAGTGTATAATGTTGCAAAATACTAATATCTCTGGATTTTACTCAGCAAGAAACCCTTACCAAGCTGATTCAAAATGGACTGGGTAAAAAATTATAACAACTTTGTGATAATTCTTGATTTTAAAACAAGCCCATGTTCTTATGCACATTTCATCTTCATAATACAATGCGAACTTTAAAATAAATATGAGATGTCAAGGGACATACTGACTACATTTTGGCCAGTTTGGGGAAATGGAGTAACTTAATATGTGGTGGTAGTTACAAAGCATAGTGAAAAAGACTGAATTATTGGGACTTGCATAAACAAAATCAAACAATGCATGAGATACCAGCTTAGCTTGGAAATAGGAGCCCTCTGAACTCAGCAAACTATGGTGACATGACTGGAGAATGATGCAACATTTAAGAAGTTGCCAAAAGTCCTGCTGTTTTAAGATCTTTGTAAAATTTACTGTGAGAAAAGAATAAATTCTTTGGTCAGGCTAGTAATTGCCTGGAATTTCAGATTGTGTACACACAGCTGCAAAATAATTAAAATCTCTTTAAGGTAGAAACAGTATCTTTGTTACACTATGACATAAAAGATCTTGCTCATTTGTATTAAGTGTCATAACATTCTATAGAACATAACTGAAAAAATCCAAACCGTGAATATTTTCCTAATTCCCATCTTTTATGCTCTCTAAGGCTATGTGTAAAATTCATACATCATCAAATAATTCCAAATTCACAGTGCCTGATCCCAAGGACTGTGAATTTATGATAGACTAACATTCTGTAACATCTGTCACATCCCTGGGTAAAAGCATCAGATGCCTAAATTTAAGAAAATATTGCCAAAGAAGACAATGCACTTCACTAAGCTTTAAAAACACTTACTTATACATTTTTCCATATTAGTCAACATATTTTGAATTTTTACTGAAAACTCCAATCTGTTGGGATCTATAAAGAGATTTGTAGGAAATTCTGGAAATCTAACAGAGAAAACAATAAAAGCATGTTTCAGAGAAATATAGTAACTACTATATAAAATATAATGACTTGTAATTTTTAAAATGTCTAATACTTACTCATAATACATGTATTTATTCTCAAACTCAGTCTCACTTTCTGTGTCTATTAGAATCCATTGAAAGAAAGAGAGAATACAAAATTGATTGATATTTATGTCAGGTAAATGACAAATTAATATATGCCAGTGCTTTACACATATCCTAAGAATAAACTCAAGAGGTCATTTGAAAGGCAATACTGAAGCAATACACCCCATCCCAAGGCTCTGATTAAAGAGATCTGAGAACAAACATCCTAGATGTTGTTCCTCTTGATGAACGGGGCCCTCAGCTCTGCTTCAGTGAGAAACTGTTTGGGTTTTGAGATGAAAATGAATAACAGTGTCATTACTTACATGCACAATAATGATCTGTAAGTTTATCCTTACTTTTAGCAGTATTTACCTTAAGATTTATAAAATCATAATCTACAAATTATAATACACAGACTAGTAAAATGATCTCTCATTTGTTTTTTTCCAGTTGTTAAGATAAGATATTTCCCTTCATTCCTTTTTTTTTTTTCCTCCAAGACACAAGGACTCACTGTGTTGCCCAGGCTGGTCTCAAACTTCTGGCCTCAAGTGATCCTCCCACCTTAGCCTCCCAGTGCCAGGATTGCAGGCATGAGCCACCACACCTGGCAACCCTTCATTCTTTATAGTCTCAATTGTCTTACCTGAAAGAATATCTTCAAGATTGTAACTAATTTCTTTTGATTTCTTGGCTTTTGGGAGCAATTCTTCACTTGAGTGTTTTTTGACACATTTGTCTTTATTTTCTGACATTTCATCTTCAAACATTACACACTCTTCAGGGCACAGGTCAGATTCGTGAAAGTTCTCTTTAGGATTTTCTGAAGAATCACTCTCAGCAGGAATTCTCAAGCATAGATTTACTTCAAATATTGGTGCATATGTTTTTCTCAAATCCTTCCCCACTTCAACACTATACAAAATCTAATTTAACAGATAATGTGAGGGTGCCAGTGACAACATATAAATTACAGAACATTTAATTTAGACTAATACAGACCAAAATTTTAAATGAGAAATCATAACTCCAGTATAACCGAGTAACACTGTATTATCAAATACCTGAAACTTGCATGTTAGAATAAGTCAATTACATGCGAAACAAATGACATTGTAATGAAGGAGTTCCCCCCAAAATACTGTAAATTGATGACAGAGTTAGTATATCATAGTCCTAGTCACTGAGCGCTTATTTAAAATACAAATTCTTAGGTCCTATCCCCAGAGATTTTGAGTTAAAAAGTCAGAGGCAGGGCCCAGGACTCTTAATCATCTACAAGCTGAACAGGTGACTCTATTGTGCACCTGGGTTTAAGAACTACAAATCAAGAAAACACACTTTAAATTCACTACAGTAAGTCCTAGCTCTTCACTTTAATATACATATACTAATATGGACATCTCCAGTGAAAAACACTAGGGGATAAATATCTCATTTATGTAACATAATTGTTCTTAGGCTCTGTCTGGGCTTGGTTTCTCAATCTACTGCTCCTTCCTACCTTATAAATAATCAGTTATGCTTAAGTTACCTACTGCATATGACTCCTCTGTGTTTCTCAGGGTGATCACTTGAATAATCTGCGGAAACCTTAACCTCTGATTCCAGTCATTAACAAATTAAGGCAGTTAACATTATAAATAAACCTCATAGCACCTTGCTAAGCTGCCGGGGAAAGAGCATGAGTAGATATTGAAGGTGACTTGTAAATCTTAAATGTTCACACAAATGGGTATAGTGTTTGTTCAGGATGATGAAAACGCTGTAGAAATGGAAAGTGGTGATGGTTGCCTAACACTGAATGTACCTAATACCACCAAACTGTACACCTAAAAATAGTTAAATGGAAAATTTTATGTTATGTATGTTTTATCGCAATAAAAGAAAGTCTACCCAGACAATTCTTAATAAATATATAATGTGCTGCTTAGCTTATTCTGGAAAATAACCTCTAATTAACTCTGGGAATACTGCACCTTAAGCTATATACACCTTCTAATACTACTGCATATAAATATTGTGCATTAAATCATTCTTTAAGTGTAATTATGGTTACAGTGAATCACTATAGTAAACAAGTTACTACGTTCACCTAATCCTCATAAAAACCCCGAGAGACAGAAATTATTAATTTCATTGCACATACCAAAAATTCTGGAAGCTTAATTTGTCAAAGGCTATATTGCTAGCATGTGGTAAGGCTGAAGTTCACTCATGGGTCTGTGCGATCATTATAATATGAACTACCTGGGGCCTGAAAATATTTTTGAGGTGAAGAAATCTCTTAACTGTTACACTTTTTGCGCCAAGAAGAATCAACCAATAAATAGTTTTATTCCTCTAGATTGTAAACTACAAGAGAGGAATAGCCACAGCTAAATCAAACTATAAATTTTACAGATTACAATGGGGATTAGGAAAGGAAGGAGGAGACAGCACCAATGATTACCAGATCCACAACTTTAGCTCTTATCTCTCGCTTGAGATTCACACCTATGTTTTCAACATTTTGAGCTCTGTACAGAAAAAAAGAGGAGCAAACCAAGGTCAGATACTAGAGGGCAAAGTAGGTGCAAGATGCCCAAACTTGGGCGATGGGACAAAAGTGGACATAAATTTAGGCCACCTTAGTGGCAGTCTGCTCGTTCATGCAGCCTGTGTCCAAATCTCCACTCTGTCAGCCTGCATTGAACACATACATGTGTGTATATATATATATATAAAAAATAGATGTGTGAACCTTATTGGTTCTGTCCCTCAGGAGAACCCTGACTAATACAAGTTACATGAAAAAATGCTCAACCAAACCAGTAATAAGGGAAATTCAAATTAAAACTTTGGCAAAATGCCATTTCACACCTATCTGATTGACATTAAATATTGACGAGGATTAGTAAGCTTATGGAGCAATAAAACTTTATGAATTGCTAAAGGTCACTGAAACTGGTACAAGCATTTTAGAAAAACAATTTTATGTCACTCAACACAGTTGAAAATAACATGTTTTTACCCAGAAATTTTACACCTTAGCAATAAAGAAAGAAATAGTAACTCTTGTTCATGTATACCAAAGGAGAAATATACAGGAATGTGCAAGGTAGAATTATATGTAATAGCAAAAACAAAAACTGAATATAACCCAGATGTCTATCAACAGTAGAATGGTAAGTGAACTGTTTCATCAGTAAAGGATGAATAGGAGACACTGAATACTTTTAAGTTGGGTGAAGCCTACATGAGTGTTTGCTTGTATTTGCAGGTATCGTACACTTAATACAAAACATTATAAACATAATACATATGCATTGTACAAAATTTAGACTACCTAGAAAAATATATATATGTAAAATTATTCAAGGTTCCTACCACCCACAGATGATGATTGTTAATATTTCAATGCAAATATTTTCAGACTTCAAACTACATAGTGTGTATGTGTGTATGTTTGTTTTACTAATACATGTGAATATTTTCCCTTGTCATCAAATCTACCTAAATAGTTTAAAAAGAAAAGATACATAAAGGCCATATTATACAAGGCTACTTTTACCAAATAGGATAAGCACATAACATATAAAGTTTAAATCTCAACAAAGTAATAACAACGGAGAGAAAAACAATTCTGGCAAGAAAAGATTTCTTTTTTTTTTTTTTTTTTTTGAGACGGAGTCTCGCTCTGTCGCCCAGGCTGGAGTGCAGTGGCCGGATCTCAGCTCACTGCAAGCTCCGCCTTCCGGGTTTACGCCATTCTCCTGCCTCAGCCTCCCGAGTAGCTGGGACTACAGGTGCCCGCCACCTCGCCCGGCTAGTTTTTTGTATTTTTTAGTAGAGACGGGGTTTCACCGTGTTAGCCAGGATGGTCTCGATCTCCTGACCTCGTGATCCGCCCGTCTCGGCCTCCCAAAGTGCTGGGATTAAAGGCTTGAGCCACCGCGCCCGGCCAAGAAAAGATTTCTTAATGAAAGTTTATCTAGGATTCTTTCAAGGTTTGCTATTTTGCTTCTGCCATTTTTAAGATAAGAACACAACAAAAATCCATTGAACAAAAGCAAAGATAGAGTAGTGTAGCAGTGGGAGGAGGGGGTAGATGCTACTTTAGATAGGGTGGCCTTCCCTTATCATTCCTATGTAAAATAGCATACAACATCACTCCTGCATTCCCTTCTTTTTCATCGATTTTCTTCACAGTACTCATCACTTCCTTTATCTGTCTCCTCTGGTAAAATATAAGCTCCAAGAGGTCAGAGAATTTGTTATGCCCACTGCTGTTATTTCAGTGCCTACCTAGTTCAGTGCCTGGAACATAGTAAGTACTCAATAAACCACATGGTGAATGAATGAACGAATGAACTAAATGAGATAAGTGCCATTATGGCTTTTTACAGTGGGAACAGGTAAGAGTGTGTATGTGTGTTGGGGAGGGTATGTTGGGCAAGGGGTTGTGGGTATTAATCATAAATCACATTTTAAATTTCAAAATGTATTCATTTTATAGCAAAAAATCTATGTTTATATTTTTCAAAGATCATTTTACCTCACTAATATCAGAGTCTGTTTTTACTTCTGACTTTTGAACAGAAATAGCATGTGTCTTTGAATTATCAACAAGTTCTTCATAATCATTTGTTGTCTTTCCAGTAGGAAAAGAGTTGTCCTTGAATGTTCTGGATTAAGAAATGGGAAGAAAAAAATCATTTAAAAATCATTTATATCTACATATATAAAGAACACGTACAACTCAACAACAAAAAGCAACCCAATTAAAAAACAGGCAAAGGACCTGACTAGACCTTTCTCCAAAGAAGATACACAAATGGACAATAAGCACAAGAAAAGATGCTTAATATTACTAATCATTAGGGAAATGCACTCCATAACACACTGAGATATTATATCACCTCATACCCATTAGGATGGCTATTTAAAAAAAAAAAAGAAAAAACAGAAAATAATAAATATTGGCTAGGCTTGGAAGTACAAGGAGAGTATAGATCACCAAGAAGATTTAACCTAAAGAAGACTACCCCAAAGTATTTAATAATCAAACTCCCAAATATCAAGACAGAGTGATACCCTGTCTCAAATACATAAATAAATAAATAAAGTACAGAGGACAAAAAAAAAAAAAAACATTCAACCCTAGAATGGTACACCTGGCAAAAATATCTTTCAAACACAAAGGAAAAATAAAAATCTTCCCAAACAAAACCTAAGGGTTTTGCCAGACACTTATAATCAATACCAGATCTATCCTATAAGAAATGCTAAAGGAAGTGCTTCAATCTGAAAGAAAAGGACACTAATGAGCAATAAGAAATCATCTGAAGGCACAAAACTCACTGGTAACAGTAAGTACACATAAAAACACAGAATATTGGCCTGGCACGGTGGCTCATGCCTGTAATCCCAGCACTCTGGGAGGCCGAGGCGGGCAGATCACCTGAGGTTGGGAGTTCAAGACCAGCCTGACCAACATAGAGAAACCCTGTCTCTACTAAAAATACAAAATCAGTCAGGCATGGTGGCACATGCCTGTAATCTCAGCTACTCAGGAGGCTGAGGCAGGAGAATTGCTTGAACCCAGGAGGCGGAGGTTGTGGTGAGCCAAGATTGTGTCATTGCACTCCAGCCTGGGCAATAAGAGCGAAACTCTGTCTCAAAAAACAAACAAACAAACACAGAATATTATAACATTGTAACTGTGATGTGTAAACTACTCATATTTTAAGTACAAAGATAAAGAACTGATCAAAATAAGTTTTCAAGACACAGATTATACAATAAGATATAAAAAGAAACAATAAAAGTTAAGAAGCAAGGAGATTACATATAGAGATTTTATAACTCTCCTTATCTTGTTTGTATGTTCATTTATACAATCAACACTAAGTTGTCATGAGGTTAAAATAATGGGTTATATTAATTGCAAGATTCATGGTAACCTAAAATCTATAAACATACAACAGATACACAAAAAAGAAGCAAGAAATTAAAACATATCACCAGGGAAAATCACCTTCACTAAAAGGAAGGCAGGAAGGAAGAAAAGAAGGAAGGGGACACCACAAAAGAACCAAAAAAACAAATAACAAACTGGCAGGAGTAAGTCCTTACTTAATAATAAGAATGGATGTAAATGGACTCAATTCTCTAATCAAAAGATATAGAGTGGCAGAATGAATGAAAAACCAAGAATCAACCTTCTGCTGCCTACAAGAAACACTCTTCACCTTGACAAACAGACTGAAAATAAAGCTACAAAAAAAGATATTCCACACAAATGGAAACAATAAAAGAGGAGTAGTGATACTTTCATCAGACAACATAGATTATACAACAAAAAGTGTAAAAAGACACAAAGAGGGTCATTATATAATGATAAAGTGGTCAATTCAGCAAGAAGATAGAACACTTGTAAATATACATGTACCCAACACTGGAGCACACAGATACAAAAAGCAAGTATTATTGACAGAGCAGGAGCACTGTCATCTTCGACAAACACTGCCACTTTAAGTTCCAGCTCCCTTTCTAGCCGTACGCATTTCAAGGAAATCACTTCTCTTCTAATTACATGCAGCCAGAAAGAGCAGATAGTAAAACACAGATAAGACAGCTCAGGCACAGAGGGAGGTGACCGGAAGGTCTCTTGGATAACTGCCAAACTTCACCCTCATACACTGGACCCCAGTAAAACAGTAGGCCTTAATAAGCATATTCCTTTCCCTTCATGCGCACTAAGATAGGGAAGACAAAAGCAGACTCGGGGGGTATGCTTGCAGCTTCTGAAAGATGTATGGGAACAGACAAATGACTCTCTCTCCCAGATGAGTACAACAAAGAGACACAGAAGCAGTCCAAGCCTCTGATAAACTCTCCCACCCTGAATCCTTAAAAACTCTTAGTCTGGGCGGGGCACGGTGGCTCAGGCCTATAATCCCAGCACTTTGGGAGGCTGAGGTAGGTGGATCATAAGGTTAGGAGTTTGAGACCAGTCTGGCCAACAAAGTGAAACCCTGTGCCTACTAAAAATACAAAAAATTAGCTGGGTGTGGTGGTGTGCACCTGTAATCCCAGCTATTTGGGAGACTGAGGCAGGAGAATCGCATGAACCTGGGAGGCAGAGGTTGCAGTAAGCCAAGATTTCGACATTGCACTCCAGCCCAGGTGGCAGTGTAGGACTCTGTCTCAAAAAAACAAAAAAACCTCTTAGTCTGTAAGAGAGTGGGTCTCTGACCTAACTCAGCCAGAAGGCTCCTCTCAGGTTCGTTTTCCTTAAAATAAATCTGTCTTGACTGGCAAGCCACCTTTCATGTTTCTTTCCTCTTTCTTTAATTCTTACAATTATTAGATCTAAAGGGAAAGATAAACCCAATACAATAATAGCTAGAGACTTCAACACCACACTTTCAGCCTTGGACAGATCATCCAGACAGAAAATCAACAAAGAAACATCAGACTTAAAATGCGGGAAAAACCAAATGGACCTAATACATATTTACAGAACGTTTCATCCAATGACTACAGAATACACATTCTTCTCAGCACACAGATAATTCTCAAGGATAGACCATATGTCAGGTCAAAACACAAGTCTTAAAACATTCAATAACATCAAAATAATATCAAGCATCTTCTCTGACCACAAACAAAACAAAACAAAACAAAAACCCTACAAATCAATCAGAGGAGGAATTCTGGGAACTACACAAACACATGGAATTTAACCAACATAACATACCCAAACCTATGGGGATACTGCAAAAGCAGTACTAAGAGGGAAGTATATAGGCATAAGTTTCTACCTCAAAAAAACAAAACAAAAAAACTTTCAAATAAACAACCTAATGATACATTTTAAAGAATGAGAAAAGCAAGAGGAAACCAAATCCAAAGTTAGTAGAAGAAAAGAAACAATAAAGATCAAAGCAAGAAAACTACAGAAAAGATCAATGAAACAAAAAGCTGGTTTTTGAAAAGATAAAGGAAACTGACAAACCTTTAGTCACACTAACTAAAAAAACAAAGAGAACAAAGACCCAAATAAATAAAATCAGAGATTAAAAAGGAGACATTACAACGGATACTGCAGAAATTCAAAGCATCACTAGAGGCTACTATGAGCAACTACATGCCACAAATTGGAAACCCTAGAAAAAAGGGATCAATTGTTAGACACATACAACCTACCTGCCACTAAGCTAGCAGAAGACAAGAAATGACCAAAATCAGAGCCAAACAGAAGGAAATTGAGACACACACACACAAAAAAAACATTTAAAAGATCAAAGAATCCAGGAGCTGTTTTTGAAAAAATTAATAAAAGAGAGGCCACTAGCTACACTAATTAAGAAGAAAAGAGAGAAGATGCAAATAAACACAATTAGAAACAATGAAGGGAATGTTACTACTGACCCCACAGAAATTAAAAAAAAAAAAATCACAAACTACTAGAAACACCTCTGTACACAAACTAGAAAATCTAGAAGAGATGGATAAATTCTTGGACACATACACCCTCACAAGACTGAGCTGGGAAGAAATTGATTCCCTGAACAGACCATTAATGAGCTCTGAAATTGAATCAGTAATAACAGCCTACCAAGCAAAGAAGCCCAGGACCTGATGCCCTCTCTCACCACTCCTATTCAACATAGTGCTGGAAGTCCTGGCCAGAGCAATCAGGCAAGAGAAAGAAATAAAGTGCATCAAAATAGGAAGACAGAAGTCAAACTATCTGTTTGCATACAACTTGATTCTTTATCTATAGTTTCAGCCCCAAAGCTGCTCCTTCAGCTGATAAACAGCTTCAGCAAAGGATACAAAATCAGCATACAAAAATCGCTAGCATTCCTATATACTAACAACAATCAAGCCAAGAGCCAAATTGTGAATGAATTCACATTCACAATTGCCACAAAAAGAATAAAATACTTGGAAATACAGCTAACCAGGGAGGTGAAAGATCTCTACAATGAGAATTACAAAACACTGCTCAAAAAATCAGAGAAGACACAGAAATAGAAAAACATCCCATGTTCATAGGTAGAATCAATATCATTAAAATGGCTATACTGACCAAAGCAATTCACAGATTCAATGCTATTCCTATCAAACTATCAATGACAGTCTTCACAGAATTAGAAAAAATTATTTTAAAATTTATGTGGATCCAAAAAAGAGCCTAAATAGCCAATGCAATCCTAAGTAAAAAGAACAAAGCTGGAAGAATCATATTACCCAACTTCAAACTACACTACAAGGCTACAGTGACCAAAAGAGAATGGTACTGCTGCAAAAACAGGCACATAGACCGATGCAACAGAATAGAGAGCCCAGAAATAAGGCCCCATATCTATGACCATCTGATCTTTGACAAAGCTGACAAAAACAAGCAATGAAGGAAACACTCCCTATTCAATAAACGGTGCTGAGATAACTGTCTAGCCATATGCAGAAGATTGAAGCTGGACTCCTTTACACCATATGTAAACATCAATTCAAGATGGATTAAAGACTTAAATGTAAAACCCAAAACTATAAAAACCCTGGAAGAAAACCTAAGCAGTACCATTTTGGACATAGGAATGGACAAAGATTTAATGACGAAGACACAAAAATCCATTGCAACAAAAGCAAAAATTGACAAACAGGATCTAATTAA